ATGTATTTAACAAGCGTCATGAAAAATTAATTTAGGGATAAAGATTAGATTTAGATTCTTGTTATACAGTCCACGATAGTTACTCTTAAAGGCGACATAAGATTCCTCGTTAAAAGCCTTCTAGTTCAAAAAAAATAAAATTTTTATAACATGGTCCCTATAGGGACCAAAGGGCAAGAAAGGGTTAATATAGCTGCCTTTTATTCTAAGGAATCTTCTTTATTATCCATAAACTCGTCATCTTTGTCATATGCCTGTATTAGTTCTCATCATTATATTTACTTAAATAATATAAATCAAAATTAAGTATGATTATAAACATAATTATTATTTCAGATATTCTGTCGGATCTGGATTGCTAGAATAATACAACGACATCATATACAATAAATACTTTATCCTTTCTGTTAATACGTACATAGATCTAAACGTCGCTTTTGAAGCAAGACTTTAGAAGTCTACGTATTCTTATTCTTCTTCGATTTCATTTACGTTTTAAACAACAGACTGTATACATTATGGACCTAATTAGTATTTTTTAATTTTTTGTTTTTTATTGATTAACAACTTGTTTAAGATAGGTATCTACCACGCACAAGAATTCTTATTTCAGATAAATGATGGAGAGCTCGAACTGTTTTTATTTTGCAGTAAACACTTATGGCTATGAGTTGACAGAGCCCGATTTTTTAATTTCTCATTTACTGATTTCTAATGCTTAACAGAACTTTAAAGTTCAAAAAATCCTTGGACGGTTTCTTACAAATCCTCATTTCTATGAAAGATAGAAGTATAATTTAAAAATCAGACTCTGTCAACTCCTAGCTATAGGTGTTAGCATCAAATAAAAAAACAAAATTTCTTTCTCCGATGTATTGTTACCGAGAATTCCTGTGCATGGCGAAAGCCCTGAAGCAAAAATACAGTCTTGAGAAAAATGTAAAATAAATTTGATTCTATTAAATATGTTTTACTTAAACACTGTTTGAGCGTTAAATAATTTGTTAATACTTTGCTATAGGTTATCGGTATGGCGGATCTAATGAACATGTGTGCACTTATGCAATAAAAGTACAAAAAAGCCATTTTTTGTGTTAAAGGAGTTTTAGAAAAATCACTCAAAAGCTGTGGGAAATCTATTCNATAATTATAATCATCTAATGGAACAGCCAACTTTATTTTATGCTGTTGCATTAACATTGGCATTAATTAATGATCGAAATAATTTTAGAAAAATCACTCAAAAGCTGTGGAAAATCTATTCTATCGACACAAAAATTATGCCATTAGAAAGTAGATACTTTGGACTATCCAACCATGTACTTTTCCCAAAATTGATATTTTTTACGAACATCGGCATTTTTGACCCAGTGGGGAGCCCTTAACTGCTGTCAACAAAAGATGGACAACAACCATTAATTAAGATGACTACGTAGAAAGAAAGAAAATACTAAGCTTGTTGTTTCGGTGAGATATCGGTTTTTATTAATCTAGACAAACTGATAGTCAATTAAAATAATTTTAGAAAAAAACTTTTTATATTTTTCTATGCTTTCTTTAAGTTATATTTCTCTCGGAGAAAGGAAATATTTCATTTTGTTAAATTTGCAAAAGACTTTGTTCTCCCGAACCCAGCAGATTTTTGGTTGCGATAGAAAAAACTTTTAAAAAAAGTACAGAACATGTCCTTTACTAAAGGAACATTTTTTATCGTTAATCAATTGGCTGCCAGCCTTTTTTTTCTGACGAGAAGAGGAACAAATTAGTATATTTCACGTAAATCGGACAGTACATCTGTAAAATTCGTTTCTATTTGACAGGATATTATTCTATCACAGATTCTCACGTAACTTTTAAATGAACTGTATAAAAGAAGAAGAAAAAATAGAGATATAAGGTTCCAATATTATTTATTATATCCAATGATATTAAAGGTCAAAAAAGAACTCGACTACTAGCTAGAATGTTTTTGTCTAAAGTATTCCATTTCAGTTAAATACTGTTGCCTCCTCCAAATAAAAGAATTGCTGCTATACGTATTGCTAATATCAATAGGAGGGTTGATCCTAATATAAACACAAAAAATCTCCACATTACACGATTAATAGTTGCTTGTATAAGACTGTGTACAATGCGTAAGAGAACATAGAGCCATGCCAATGTTAAATTAAAATTATTTCGATCATTAATTAATGCCAATGTTAATGCAACAGCATAAAATAAAGTTGGCTGTTCCATTAGATGATTATAATTATCAGCCACCCAACGTGCTTCCGGTGGCATTTGCGCTTCAAAATGTGAAGCTAGATGTTTACGTGGATCATATTGAATATTTAAACGTTTGGTAGCTGGTATACGTGTAGCATAAAGCCATATCATCATAATAAATGACCATAGGACCAATATGATTACGGGACATAATACTGGATTTGGTTGTAGAGATGTTGATGGGTGCGTGGCGTAACTATTCATTTTTTCTTTCTTTTTTAGTGTGTTTTTTTGGAAAAGTACGATGAAATGTGCTCGTAAAAAAATGAGGAAAGAAAAAGAACGGTGGTAATGTTTTTGTTTTTTATCACCATAGAAAGAAAAAAAATAATAAGATGCAGAAAGAAGAAATGATATTTTTACATGCAAAATTTCCTCTTATATGTATGATGACATTGTGCTTTCCTTTCTCTTATTATGATGATAGATTGTATGAGTTTCTGTGATTTCATATTTAAACATTTTAAGACAGAAACTATTAAACACAGTAATCAAATACTTATGTACAGTTATATCTACCTCATAATAATAATTCAGCGTTTGTCCAATAAACCAGACACAAGTTTTGCTCGAGATGATTATGACGAAATTGAACAGTTAAATCTCTGATTAAAATCAATCATACATAAGCTTTATAACATGGACGGTACAAAAAAAAACGTCAAGTCTTTTTTTATTAAAGTCTATCTCTCTTATGACTTTTTAATAAATTAAGATCGTTAAAACAAACGTTGCTAAACGTCGTTTCTGATAAGTTGTACCACAGACTTCATTATTTCTTACTCCTGTTCAGACAGAATGTTATAAATGACAACGACAATAAACATTTTGATTAATATTTGTATTGCTTCTAGTTGATCGTGACTAATACGTTGTACCAGAAAACTGGTTTGTTAAAACATAATCTTGACATCCAATGCCATCACTAACATGTGATCGATACGAAATACCTGCTGTATTAGGATTTGGATTAATTCGAAAAGCTTCTA